CTCTCTCTCTCTCTCTCTCTCTCTGGTTCCCAGCTGCAAGGAGGCAGCTTTGGTCCTCCATACCTTCCACCATGATGTTCCACCTAAGTCTAGGCCCAGAAACAATGGAGCTAACCAACCATGAACTGAAACCTCTGAGATGTGAGCCAAAAGACATCTTTACTCCTTTGTTCTCCTCTGATATTTTATCACAGCAACTAAAAGCTAATACCAGCATCTACTTAAGATCCTGCCATGGGTTCTGGTCCTGGGCTTCCCCTGTACCTGTGCTGGCTCTGATACAGCTGTTCACCCACCGAGCACATACCATATGCTGATCTCTGCAAGATGCTGGTTGACAGGACTAATCAAGAGACTAAAATCTTGCCTCAGCCTTGGGGGAAGCAGGAACCAGTCTAGCTTATAATTTGTTGATTGGCTTTGTTCCTAGATGGTATAGAGAAACTAAAAAGGAGGTTTTAATTGGGCAGGACTAATATCTATAATGAATAAACCATAAAATTTTTAGTGGTGAAATCGAACAGAGGTTTACTTCTCACATCACAATCCAGGGAGGATGGACTGAAGAGAGTCTTTTTCCAAACATTCACTCGCTTTTACTCAATGGCTTCTATTATCCCCAGGGGCCATGGGCAGCCACTGGCTAAGGCAAAGCAAGAGCATGCAGGTCCAGAGGGCCAACCTGGATGGAGCCAGTCACACCCAGCACAACCTGGTTGCCATGCCCACCCAACACAGAGGGCACTGGGAAGTACTCAGGAGCCTGGTGCCCACGGGAAAGGAAATGGGTCTGGTGAGCACACTAGTGCGCTCACTAGAGTTCAAAGGGGAGAAAGCATTGAAGAAACAGTTTCACAATGTCCTTAAAGAAGAGTGAGACTGGGCTTATTCCAGATGATGGGGAAGGGCACAGGGTCTACTGCAGTGGAGGAAAAAGATGGGCTCAACTCGGAATACAGGAAAAGTGGGGATATATAGCCCAGGAGCAGGGTGGAGTCACAGGATGCAAAATTACTGAAAGGAAACATCAGAGATGAGGAGACTTTGGGCTAACCTGACCCCACAGGATCGTGCTGGAGGCAGGCCAGGGGGAGCAGGCATCCCCAGAGGGCAGTGGTGGAGGATGGGGAGCCCAGTGAGATATGGAAGGTGAGCAGACATGGAGCGGGTGGATCCTGGCTACACTGACTTCGGAAGATTTTGCTGAAATTAAACAATGCTAAAGCAAACACAGAGGTCCAGGGGCCAGGACCCAGCTGAGACTAGAGGAGCTAGCCTGGAGCTTGGTTCAGCAGAGAAGCTTTGTCAAAGAGACCGGCAGGTATCATGGGGAGACCAAGGCTCTTGGACCACAATCTGGACTGTATGCCGTGGTGATGGGTGAGATGAGTGAATGCAAAGTTCTGGAACGCCGCTTAGAATCGTATATCAAAACTCTGTACTGATGGGGAACATAGAGATGTATTCTGGGAGAGAAAGATAAAAGACAAGCCCTTCTCTAAAGAAAGTGTATACATGCACCGAACAAGTCTTCAAAGGCTGCCTATTTTTATTTAAGTGTCCTGGTGAGAGGGACAGAAAATAAGTGCTTTAACAATTCAGTGAGGTTAAGGTGGCCTGAGGGATGCCCGGGAGTCAGGGACAGCAGATCTCAAAGGACACAGCGTTTGGGAAGCAACGGGGAGGGGGGAGGGTTGAGGACACCAGGTGGGTGGGCACAGGATGACCCAAGGGGTATGAAGCACATTTGGGGAATCCAACAGAGTCTCAGACTGGAATGCTGGCCTTGGGTGAGAAAAGAGACCCCACAGAGCCCCCTGGGGATGTCAGCAAATGACCGCACTCTTCAAGGCCAATGTCCCAACATGAAATCAGACTGAACCCTGAATTAGACCGAGGAGCTGCTTTCCTGGATGAGGAGGGCCAGAGCAGATCCCTAGTAATTCTCTGCTCATTTGCTCCTTCCGGGCCAGCTGGCCCTTAATGACTGTCCTGATTAATTTAATTCAATTCACGAGAAAGTACAAATTGCTACTCTGAAGAGCTGGGAAACTTGTGACTTCCCTGCCAGGGATCTCAGTGGGGACGTAATTGTGCTGGGTCAGGAAGCTGTCAGTCATGGCCCAGGGTAGTCTCAGCTGCTCTTCTTACCACCCCCATAGGCTAGGACAGAGGTCAGGTGCAGACAGGACCCTGCTCCTCTTGGCTCTTTATCCCAGGGAGACTGTCCTGGGCTGGTTAGCACTTTCCCCATGCATGAGTCCTGGGCAGACACCAAGGAACAGTGCTTCCACTGAGCACACTCTCATGAGTGAGGCTACAAGAGATGTGGGCATTCCGACACAACTCACAGCTGTGTGCTCCACGTTTTGGCATGGTAAGGGCATTCGGGGTAAAAGGACAAGAGTTTAAGAAAATCATGAAGCGGAAGCAAGATGTCACAGGGGCCACACCATGGTCTTCTGCAACACCCAATGAAGGGCAGGAGTTTGCCCTGAAGATCTTTGCAGCCAAAGGAAGGAGGGAAAAGTAATTTCTTACAGAAATAATGTTTTCCATTAAATCAAAGCAAGCCAGTTGCTACAAACCTCATAGTTTCTGGTCCTGAGGCCTGCAAGAAACATCTCATGTGTGTGCTAATGAAGAGAATGTGATTAAGAGCGTCTCTGGCTTTCATGCTCATCACAGACTAATACAGTACGAAACTACAATGCAATTGAGGAAAAATAGGTCTACGAGGAACCAAAAGAATCTGCATTCACATGAGCAGTTCCTTGGAGGTTTACATAATCTGAAGGTCAAGTTTAAAACCGAATATTGAGTGGGCTGCAGGACCTCGGGCAATCTTTTATAACAGGAGCCCAAATTAGGGAGGTGAGATTTGAGAAACCTCAACGGAATAATATTTATTCAACAAACATCTATCAAAAACACAAGGCTTCTCTGGGGACTTGTGCTCGGACCTAGGGATAGATGAATGGATAAATATGAGCCCTGCCCTCGAAATACTCTCGTGCACTGGAGGAGACGGAGGAGGAGGGCAGCCTGGTTAATACAACATACTGCCCCACAGAGGAGAGGGGAGAGGAGCTGACCTCATCCTTACCTTCTCAGTCAGGGCTGGGGCAGTGGGGTGGGGTTCCTCTGGCATCCCGCCTCTTTCAGGGAGCGTTTCCACCTGCTGTGGAAAGAGCCGAGCGGGCCTTCCTGCTCCACAGTCCCCTCTGAGTTTCCGTCTTTCCCCTTGTCCATGCCCCTGTTCCAAGAGCAGCAGGAAGCGAGGGAAATGTGGGCATGTCGTAAAGCAAGGTGAACTGAGAGGAACAGGAGGTTTCTGGGGAACAGGGTCCCGTCCTCTGCGTGTTCTGAGCTCCCTCCAGGGTGGCCGTGACTAACGTCTGCTGTGTTTTCTCGCAGCCCAGGACCAGGCTATCCGCCAGCCTCTTCCGCGCAGGGTAAGTCCACTGCTGGCCCTAACTGTTGGGTAAGCCTTTGACGCCTACAAAGCCAGGGGCTGATTTCAAGTCATTTGATGTATTTACAAGAGAAAGAAGACTTTCCAAATGGCTTACTTCCCTGGCAAGGAAAAGTGCGCTTCAATCCTTGGGTTTAAAACTATGTTCTAATTCCCCAGTCATAACATAAAGATTAAAAATTAATTCACATCATTGTGAAGGTTGAAAAAGATGAAGATACCAACACACTGTCCTGGTGAGTGTGTTGTGGAAAAGGCGCTTTGTTCATTGTGAAATTTTAAATTGAAAGAAACTTTCTAGAAAGCAATTTCACAATATTAACTAAATGATATAAAATACACAATTTTTGACCCAATAATTCTGTGATTAACGGTATAAAACTAAGGAATCTAACCTAAATTTCAGATTACACATTTAAACACATTCACTAATATTTTGTAATAATATATTCTAAACGGTAACACATTGGAACGAAGCTAATTATTCAGTAATACAGAAATAGTGGAATGTCTTATATCCACTTATGAAGCCATTTGAAATATTTACAAATAATTTTAAAAACTAAAAAAAGATTAAAATTTAGAACACTACTCAAATATCTACTATTACAAGTAACTGTATTGTTAAATTATATATGCATATAATTTAAATAGCTTATATATTCACACATGTTTAGATATAGGTGAAATCTACATCTAAAATCATTGACTTGTTACTCTGAAGTACTTGTTTAGAATTTTTATTCAGGCTATGGACCCCTACCCAGGACACACACACACACACACACACACACACACACACAAGCACACAAGCACACAATATTCTTTTAAATAAGGAGGCTCATGGACAGTGAATATTGAACATGCTACTAAGAACCCTTGAGACTTATAGATAATAGATAAAAAAATGATAGATATGACTCATCCCAAACTAATCTTTCACTCTTTCACTCTTTCTGTGTCTCTCTCTTTCTAGAAAGAAATAGATCAAAATATTTATGTCCACTGCTGGGGAAGAAAGTCTGGTCAGCCTTTGACACCTACAAAGTTGTAGTTCTTGGTGGCTTCCGGCCACCACCTGCCCCCATGGAGTCTAGCCAAAGGGTTAGGTGAAAAGCAGGTTCTTCTAACAGGCCCCAGATTTCCCCCAAAGAGGCCATACCCATGGCCCTAAGAGTGCACCTGTTGTCCTTCCAACAAAGTCCATCTGTGGGCTCCCGAAGGGGTCCCCTGCTGTCTTCCAGCAAAGAACTCAGTTTCCATGCAGTTCCAGAGCCCAGCTCCGTGTCCCTCTGCCATGTCTGTAGAATTTCACTTTCCAGAAGCCTTGCCCAGCCCTGGGCCCTGGCTCTGCCCAGTCCAGACATCAGTGAGACGGAAGCCTCCTAATATATACTGAGCTCACCTTACAGGGCAGATGCCAAGTGGAGCCTTCATAAGCATCTCCTCAGTTAACCTTTGACAACCAAGGACCAAGTAAAGTAGGCTAAGTCATCTCCAGTTTACCGACTGGGCATCTGAGTGAGGAGGTCAAGTAGCCTCCACAGTCAGAAAGCAAACCACAGTTTAGATCTACGACAGAGCGACCACTGAGCCATGCTGTCACCCAGCTTCTTACCTGGTTTCACATCCAAGAACTTCCTACTCCTAGCCCTCCTTCCCTCCGACGCCAGGCGAGGAGACAGACTGAGGAGGGACAACGCCCAGTCTCTGAGACACAGCCCCAAGGCTGCCGTGAAAATGGTCCTGCTCCATCTCTGTGTCCCGTGGCTTACCCCCGTCCTTCAGGTGCCAGACTCTTCTCTTCTACCCCGTTCCTGCTGGGAGGTCACTGCAGGGCCCCTTGTCACTGGGTGCTTTGTTCTGTTAAACTTGACAAGTTGACCGAGTCCTCTCTTCAGGGAAGACTCGAGGCCGGCCTTCCGCTGGGAGCAGGTGGTGGGAGACAAGAGCCAGCAACTGGAAGTCAAGATGGTGGTCCACAGACGCCTCAGCCCACTTCTTATGGTGTCCCATGGAGAGCATGAGCTCAGGCTGCCCTCTGCATCCTTACCTCAAAAATGCTCGGAGCCAAGGCAGCCCGGGGGGCCTCCCACCTGGGGACCTGGGGAGCCCCTCCTGCAGCCCGGCTCACCTGGAGACAGGACTCATCCGTAACTCATCTTTACCAAACTCTGTGATGGGGATGACAGGAAAGGCATAGACGTTGAGCCCTGAGACTCTTTAGTAACCCACCTGAGGAGCTTGGGGAACTCCCTGGAGGGAGGCAGAGCTGGAACTTCCACTAGTCTGTCTCATCCCAGGTCCTTCCCTGCAGTAAACTCCCCGTGTTAGAAGGCACACGAAACCCAAGCACATAGTAGTTAGCAAGGGCTGAAGGCTCCAAGAGGAGAGAGGGAGGTGGTTGGCAGGCTGGCTCCTCCCTGCTCTCACAGCACAGGGGCCTGGGGACCCCACTGGGCATCCACCATCGCGACTTTGCCTTGGTTCTGGAACTGCACATAGAACTGAGTTCTGCACTGGAGCACGCAGGGGACCCCTTCGGGAGCCCACAGATGGACTTTGTTGGAAGGACACTAGGTGCACTGTTAGGACCGTGGGTGTGGCCTCTTTGGGGAAATCTGGGGCCTATTAGAAGAACCTGCTTTTCATCCGACCCTTTGGCTAGACTCCATGGGGCAGGAGGTGGCAGGAAGCCATCAAGAACCACAACTGAGAGAGTATGTACCAGACTCTCCAGACTTCTGTCCCCAGTGATGGATATAATATTTTGGTCTGTTTGTAGAAAGAGAGAGAGAGAGAGAGAGGAGAGATTTATTGGGGATGAGTCCTATCTATCCATTTTTATCTATTGTCAGTCTCAAGGGTTCTTAAGGCACTTCTGATTGCAAAGTTATTCTACAATGTTGTGTGACTGAATTGCGTGTGAGTATGTGTGTGTGTGTGTGTGTGTGTGTGTGTGTGTGTGTGGCCATCTGATTCAAAAATAGGTTTGAAGTGGATCCCAGTAAAAATACCTTTATAACTAGACACATTAAGGCATAAATAAAATTTTGAAATCACACACATAGGAATAATTATACTCTAAGCCTTGTTAAAATCTATTACTTTAGGCACTTATTTAACAATCTTATATAAAGAATCTACTGTGTGTAAAAGAAAAAAAGGGGGGGAACCCAAATACAGTTAAGTCTATAAAGCAACAACTTAGCTTTACATGTTCAGCCCTTGAGAGTAAAAACACCGAGTCCAGAGACATCAGAGGCCCACGTGGAGGTGCGAGGCTGGGACTGGGAAGAAATGACTCTCCCTGCAGAACCATCAGTCTCATCCTGGGCTTACACTGTCCCCACTGCCCTAACTGGGTAGCAGTCCACCCAAGGAATGTCCTGGATGCTCTGCTCTTCATTTTTGGGGTAGAGAACAATTTTAAATTTCTGGTGCTGGGTTCCAGTATGGATATGGTAAAAAAAAAAAAAAGTTCTGTTTCTACCCGGCAA